CATTTTCCACAAAAAAGTCGACTTGCTAACGATTTAAATGTATTAAATCGGTGCATTCTTCAACTCGTGTAAATTCAAAATAGGACTGAGCATTACTGAGTATTCGTAGAAATGATTATAACCAACCGATCTCAAGACCGGTTTGAAAAAAAGTGGGCTAGAAATGTTTGCAAAGTCACGGTTAAATATTTAGTGCCCCTTCGATGCCGCGGACTGAGCTGACAGTGCAGCAGGTAGAACTATTGCTGCAGTTTCGTGGAATAACTGCACTTCGTTTCTGTCACGTACAATTGCAGTCAACTAATTTAAATGGAACGACTTCAAGAAGGAATCTGAAAAAGTTAAAAGAAACTAACCGGCAAGAGCTTTCAACTTCATGCGAACGTAGTTCGGCTTGCACGTTAAACGCGCACATTCGAATTCCTGCAAGGGGTCGATATTTCTTATTAACTGTTAAATACCTTAAGCAAAGAAACAGCCAATCTGAGCTACTGTACATTCAGCTGAGAGAAGGGTAGCAGGTCATTGAACAATAATGATAACATGCTCTGGTGTTGTCACGCGAGACTGTGAGACTTATGATCATGCTACTTGATGCGTGAGCTTTACATAAGCAATCCAGGGTAGATACGAAAATCGGCATAGGCTGTAACCCATAAACAAAGAATAAAGGGATGTGGAATCAGAGAGCAATTCCCTCAAACATTTACTTAGCATTAGAATATAAAAAATTATGCGCATGTTTAGTATTTCGAGACACTGTTCCTTGGTGCGGAAAGGAAACCGCCAGAGAGAAGACTTTTGAGCTTGATCCCATCGAGGAAAACTCAGAGCGGGTCAAGCTCACCTGGAATCCCGTTCGGTTAGGGGTGAAGAGCAACTGGATATTCTGTCAAAAGACGCCTGGTCAGGGCAGACAGTAGCCAACGCCATTCAAGATCGAAATAAATGGAATGCACATAAAACAGCGCCAGTTTCCTGCTGGCAGGTCCAGTTGGACTATAGCGGAATCCATCGCAAAACTGATGGATAACCGATACCTTCAGCAGTTACGGAATGGTATCCAAAGAACTGCAAGAGCTAACTGGAAGACCTCGTTGAAAGATGATAATGAGCGAAAAGAGATGTGGAAGCTTCTGGCGACAAATCGCACGAGACAGACGATCGTTTGCATCAAGAAAAGGAAGTGATGATCCACGTTAACTAAGAAACGATCAGTCAGTTGTTGTTGTTTAGCATTTCATACGCTTTTCTTTTTTCCTGTTTGCTACTCGGTTGAATTTTTGGTCAAGAAAACGACTAGTCAATTAACTTAGTCACAGGCATTTAATCTATTTAGCATATGTACTTTACAACGTGGTACCTGTAATCATTAAACGATATGCACTAAAATGCATAACAGGCACTAAAATATCATGGAGCTGGTGGTAAACCCCCTTAAAATTTCTATGAAAAAACGTTGATGCAGTCACATGCAGCATCTGCTATATAACGTTTACAAACATTTTAGACCTTCGAATTCATATTCCTGATACTCAGAAAGCGTAAAAAAGTCTAGCTTCTGAAACCTCATTGGCAGCCAGGCAGTGTTGCTCTAACCAGTGAAAAAAAAAGCTTGATCGATGCACTGTAACTTACAAATAATCTATTCTCATGCTTAAACAGCTTTCTAGGTATCCAATAGCAAAGGAATGATGGTCTAACTCTGTAACAGCATTTGAAAGAAACTCTCGTCTACTTCCTTTTGAAACGGTTCTGTAGTGAGCTAAATACATTTCCATAACATAGCTTTTGACTATGCAGATGATGTAACGGCCGCTACCGTGACTAACGGATATTGACCTTGAGAGGGCACAATACAGGAGCACCAAATGGGGGCAGCTCCGTCATTAGACAGATGGACTCGCAGTCGAAAGATCGCGGATTCAAGCCTGAGCGGGTGATCATCATTGAGATGCAAATAATTGAACGGATGGGAGGGAGGGTCAAATCTGCATTACTGCGTATCATATAAACGCAGATACTGTCGTCCGAAACACTGGGTACCTCAGAAGACGATGGTGAAACGAAAATAAAAGTTGCATCATATGCTTCATGAAATAATGGTGGTGTAACAATACTCTCGAAGGAAATGTAAGCCAAACAATCCCACCCATTACCACTTTTTCTCCTATGTCTTCTTAGCAAAATTATAAAAATCAGTAAAAAAGGAAAATAATAAGTTTAGGTAGCTTAATCCTGTCGAAAATACTTTAAGGATAACAGTTGCCAGTACGGCTTCGCTACTTTATAGCTTCCGCACGCAACAGTGCAGTGAAAGCCTGTCCCTTCTTTAACGGTAGGAAGTCAAAAGTTACAAAGAAGTCACGTGACACAACAGATCCGCAGGTGCAACAGAAAAGCTAAACTGTAGAGAGGTCATCCAGTTAAAATATATCGATTCCGAATATTATCTTAAACGGGCAGCAGCAACAAACGTTCAGAAGGAAGACTGTGTTTGCTTCTAGTCAGTTCGTTACCGAAAGGTTTCGCACAGTTTATCCTACTTCCCTGTACTTCATGAGCTGAACTTTTATATCGTTTACTTAAATGAGTGCTTAGTTCCTAATCTGTTTACTTATTTATATCTTTCCATTATATAAGAATCTGTTACAGAGAGCGTTTCTGCCATTATATTTTAATCCCACCGTATTCAGTGGCAGCATTAGAACTAATCTTAGACTTTCTGCGCTTCAGAGGTTGCATGAGCCGGCGTTCCATAAAGTTTCTGCAAATTTAGACTGGTCTCTGCAAAATCAAGTTAAGCTGACATCCCCTCTTGTGCAAATCTGTAAACTTCATCGGTTCCAGCTGTAAGTGAAATAAAATATGATTCATTAAGTTCATTAGTTAATACCATATGCTGCTTTGTTTCGATTAAAAGCCTTGTTTGTATAAATTAAACAAAATCAACGACTGCTAAATACATTTTAGAGGTAAAGAAAAATACAACTAACGCTTCTAAAGAACAGGGTACAAATTCTCCAATATTTGCACATTTCAAGTTCTGCCGCCAACTGTTCGAAGAGCAGTCAGTATTCATCAAATACGGATGAGCTTACGTGGAGGAAACAGCTTTGAACTTGAACGAATAGTAGGACAATGTTGTCGGTAAGTCGTTAGGCTGAGTCTGCATATCACAGTTGCACCGTTCCTGCTGACTCTTAACGCAATGCCAACTGCCAACCGTAGTTTGCAAAATCTGGTATCTACCGTAGTTAAAAATGCAAGCTGATGATCTTAATGCTCAGTAAATTAAACAATGTCCGCAAACTTCGATAAGCAAAAGTTCGTAAAATTTCGTCAGCTGTGGAACGACTATCCCAGAACAGCATGCCGAACCGACTGTTTATAGGTCTAAAACTTACCAGCCTCTCCTCAGCTGGTTTCCCCAAAGCAAAGCGTGATGAATTCCTTGCTCGATGTAATTAGCAGTTACGAAGAAACATTAATGCTGTCCTTGGATCTGAACCGGATTCTGTAGCATCGATTTTAGAACGATCATGAAATGCATATATCTACTACTGTACTGTATTTTGTCTGCCAAATCGTTCAAATCATTCTTCTTCTGTCGTATGGCTGGAGAGTGGT